ATTTTACCGTTGAAATGAATAGATGTAACCCTAGTTTTATGCTAACAGCTTTTTCTCTCGCACTTCTTGCTTGTGGAAATCATTTCCGATTTCTTGCTTCACCTGGCACCTATAATCTTCAAAATTCTAAAAATCTCAGCATCTTTTGTTTTCCTGTATCCTGTTCTTTTATTGTCTTTTCCTTAGTTATCCTCATTCCTTCTTCTCTTTCTCTTTCACTCCTATAATACAATTAGAAATAACTACTTATCTGTTGTTAGGTGACTTCTTAATGCAGTATGAGAATTGTTCCTCTTATAAATAATTTCTATAGTACATTTTAATACTTTAAATTCACAGAAACACATATACATGTTCACAGACAACTTAACCCCTAAGGATGGTCTTAGATGAGATTAAAAATACTTGGGAAAATAAAAAAAATAAAAACTATTCGAAAAGAAAATTTTGGAATTTTCATACTCAATTTTCTAAGTCTACCAAAAAATTACCCGCGAATTTGAAAGGATGGCAACGTAAACGAGTCTAAATTATTTAACCAAACCTGTTTGAATATATGCAAGACTCTTCAAATTGGATTGAGTTCGCTCGGTCACTGGCGTGTTTATTAATAAATAAATATGTAAAAATTCGATTTCTCTTTGCTTGGCGTCGATAGCCTAGGGGATAGAATTTTTGTCTAATACCAAATCGGTCTGTTTTCGAACTTGGCTTAAAGCGATCGTATGTTTAGCCATACTAATGACCTCCGAAACATTCTGTCAGTGGATGACAGTATATATATATATATATAATTGTGTATTTAGGCAGCAATCCTTCATTTATACATGCTTCATGCTTCATTAAAGACGACAGAGAAGGTACTACGGTTAAGATTTTTATTTACTTTTTTCTTGTGTTCAAACGAGTGTTTTCTTTTTTGGACACAGAGTGTGTAGAAATTGCCCAAATGTTTTATAATTCCGAGCGCTTTCGGCTATACTTTTAGCCATTGGCAATCTTTAACATTCATGCCTGCAGTTTTTCCCTAGACACGGCTATTATTTTAACTAGCTTCACCCCACGGTAATGTTTATTATTTTAAAGTTATTCTAAAAGCTAATACAGTTGTATTAAAACAAATGCTACGCAGTATTTATCATATAACACTTTATAAAGAAATAAATATAAAAATCTATTTTTAAAATATACATTTATAAACATTTTCTAAATTGTTAAAGTATGTGAACCAGCTATAAGAAAATCATTATTTACCAATTTTGTAAGCTTCAAATCGATTGGCAATTGGTCGATGTCCTACAAACTATTCCAATAAACTATCTAATAAATAAATAGTTTAAATAAACAATTTACTGAATAAATATTACTTACTATTTTTGTCCTCTATTTTCAAGAACATGCATAAATTCATTTTCATATTTATGTTTTATCAAAATTCTAATCATCGCTTTTTTAAAACAATGAACCTTGCCGGGGAATGAAGGCAGGGTCAAGGGAAGACCCCTCCTTTTGACACAGCCTGTTGTTTTAGCACGTGTCGTTTTTTTTTTATACAATTAAAGCGGAAAAAAGCGTAAGACTCCCTCTTAAGAAATTAATTTTCTCGTTTTTATATCCGTTTCATACAAAAGTTCATTCAAATTTTACCGTCCCGTTTAAAGGAAAAAATCATAGACAGATACAATATCGTTAAGAAGAAACGCTTAAAAATTAAAACCAGTTTTGATTTTGTGGTTCTGATACTTTCTTTAGTAAAGTGGGTTGTCCCAACTAAATTTGATAACACGCGAGAACCGATGATAACACAAGACTTGGATCTTTCTTATTTAACGCCATATTGTACTCAACTGTAATGATTCAGTTGGTTCGAACCGTCGGCCTTACATTCTCGTTCGTGATGCTTGCCCAACTATTACCAAATAAACATTTTAGACATGCACTTGGACATGATAATGACACTGATCCCCCCCACCAGTATGGATCAAACATACACTTTGATTTAAATTTAAGCATATCATTCATGTGGTGCAAGAAAGTGCATTTTTTTTATGAAATGAGTGGGTAGGGAAACACCATAAGACAAAAATTCAGAAAAAAGGAAGAAAGAAAACGGTTTCCTTTTAATTGCCTGATAGAACTCTTTTTGTCTTCCATCAGCATGGCTAATGCTAACCTTCAAGAGATTGTGCTTTCAAAGGCTAATGTTTTTTGCTGATATGAAGTGGAAAGATCATATTGAATCAACTAAGTTCACCAGAATCTAACTTAGATACTTATAAATCTACTATTTGTCCATAATTTGAATATTGCTGCCACACATGGTCTGGTGCTTCTGATATTTAGAGATTCTTGATAAAACACAAAGAAAAATCTGCAATGTTTTTATTGATCCTGATCTGGCATCTCGGTTTCAGACACTTTACCATTGCCGCAATGTAGCTTCCCTGTGCCTTTTCTATAAATAATTTCATGATAATTGTTCTGATGAACTTTCCTTTGTGGTACTTAGACTTTACGAATTTAAGCATACTATTACATTGGTGGTAATATCCATCAGTTCATCCTTGCCATTACCACGCTTTGGAGACCGAAATATATGAGGTTATGTGCTTCTGCATTCGGTGGTCATTAGTTTATCCCCCAGGTCAACTTTGGACCTAGATTCTTTGATAACGTCAGAAAATGAGTGCTAAGCCTATTTCGGTATAATACTATATTTATAATTGTTATGGTCCAGGTTAGGACCAAGGAAGAACAACACGAACACAAGAGTAGAAATAACGAAGGTATATTACACGAAATAATAATACAAGATGTGGAAGGTGTTAGTATGACTGTCAGTCTGGTTTGGAGTGAACTACTATCGGCTCGACTCGATTCGATATTTACTTGTCCCCCCCCACCACCACTAGGGAAAGATGTGGCACAAGGCCGAGTTTTGGGTGGGTTTTCCGAGCTCGTAGGCTCGGCCAAAAAATGCCCGTAGAAACTGTAAAAACAGAATCAGGTTGGTCAACATCCCCGAACGAGGCTCTACACTTCGGCGGAGCCTCGTCCGAGTTCCTCTCTGCTCAGAGGCAGAGAGTTCGACCGTCAAGCTGAGAAGCTCGGCTTGATTCGGTATCTACCCCCCACCACCACCACCACGAGGGTTGCATGTGGGTTTTCCGAGCTCGTAGGCTCGGCCAAAAAATGCCCGTAAAACCCGTATAAACGGGATCGGGTTGGTCAACCTCCCCGAACGAGACTTTGCCTTTCGGCGGAGCCTCGTCCGGGTTCCTCTCTGCTCAGGGGCAGTGAGTTCGACCGTCAAGCCTAGCTTCTCGGCTTGATTCGGTATCTAGCCACCCGCCACACGAGGGTTGCATGTGGCACAAGGCCGAGTTTAACGTGGGTTTCCCGAGCCCGTAGGCTTGGCCAAAAAATGCCCGTAGGACCCGTATAAACGGGATCGGGTTGGTCATTTTCCCCGAACGAGACTCTGCCCTTCGGCGGAGCCTCGTCCGGGTTCCTCTCTGCTCAGAGGCAGAGAGTTTGACCGTCAAGCCGAGAAGCTTGACTCGATTCGACCCTCTCTCTTGAGAGGTGTAGTATACATAGTGTTAGGAAGAGTTCATTCTGTAGTTATAGGTAAGGACCTATGAATAATCTTCACAGAAAATGGCGCAACAATGTCTTTCAACAACAACCCGATTACTTTTTATCTATTGAGCTCTGTGCCATATTAAGTTAACACTGATAACTAACACGTGGAGATCAGAAAACAAGTTACCCGCTTCTATGTTTCAACTTGCTAACCAACTCCGACATTCTCTGCTTCTGTTACTAGGCAATTTATTGATTTTTTGATTTTTACGGTTTATCGGCACTTTTTTTTGTGGGTTATTTAAAACCGATGCATATTTTGGATTGTAAGAAAAACATGTTTTGCGGGTGAATATTAACATTTGTTTTGAGAATAACAATTATTTTTCAAAATAAAAAGGCGATTATTTTACGCATTGTTGGGGAAAGATGTTCTATAATTATGCAAAAAGATGCAATCTCTTAAATACGCTCTTAAAATGGCAGCCCTTTAATAAGAAGAGAGTTTAATCATATGTATTCCTTTTGCCATTTAAACCATTCAAAAAATTCTTCTTCGTCGATACTTCTCGATCGAGTATTGATGAATGCTTAGCGCTCTATAAGAGATGCTCTGCGGACACGCTGCTATTCTCTGTGGTTATTGGTCATTGAAGAAGAAAATTGGTTGTTGATACTGAGGCACGATAGACAAATAGGATTTGACCAATTTTAGTGAAATCACTGCCATTTTATGACTTATCCCTCTGAAAGTGTTTCCCGCGCACGACTGCAGAATAATACTTTCGGTAGGAAATGCAACCCATACACAAAAGAATTATAAAACAATAATTTCCTTTAGAACCAAAAATCGCTGGTTTGCAAATAATTTCATTCAAATGTCCTAAAACATTCAAGTGGTACCGACTTAGTCAGACAATTAGATTAGAAATTGGGAGGTGTTCAGCTTAAGTCACCGCCGGAAATGTAATTTATAATTCAAAACTTTGACACAAAAGACAGAAGCGATAATTAAGTGGCAAGATAGAACAGAATCCTGTCAATGTATTCAAATATATTTTTCTACGGATAGCTTTTGTATTTATTCATAAGTTGAATTATTTTTTTACGGCTTATCAACCCATTTTTGGTTATTGAAAGCTGAAACATATGTTGATTGATTCTTTTCTTATCAACCATTTGCAGGTTATTTAAAGATAGAAAATAGTTTTAGATTGTAAGAATTTTTTTTTCAGATAATAATTGTTTAATGATACGATTCTTACTAATTAGCCGATATCTGTGGCCAGAAGAGGTGGATTCATGCCTTTCCTAAGGGTATTTGCGCTTAAGAGTATATTACGAGCCCAACGAGTATTGGAACTCGGGTCTCCGATTAAAAATTCCGAGACATTATCTATCACGTACGTCCGAAACTTGCAGCACTAGGTATTCTCAAGCGGTTACTCATCTACAGGCTCGGCGTTGCTTAACTTCGGTGATCATACGGGAACCAGTGTTTCAACGTTATATGGGCGTAAGCCCCCAAAATTTTGGATTGTACGAATAATTCTTTTTTTTTTTGTTTTTCAAATGAATATCGTCTTATTGTTCATGTAATAATTTTTTTCATATAAAAGTTCTACTATTTAACCCATAAGCGTGGAGAAGAGATGGTTTCATACTTTTGTCAAAGGTGTTTGCGCGTGAATTTAAGAAATTAATTAACTTAGTATTTGTCTATATTTCTGAGAGGAGGCATTATGTACAATATTTACATTATTCGGACTATTGGCCTCCTCTTTGTCGCCATATTTGTCACAACGTTTCGGCCGTTGTACGCTCCGGCCTTCTTCAGGTGGTTGGAATGTCGAACTGAACACTTTATTTCGCTCACTGTTCCACGTGCCATGTTTAATGGATGTCAGTTATCAGGTCACATGGCACAGTAGATAAAGGCGTTGCTTAGATCCAGTGACAGGACCCAAAGAGTGTGAGTTCAATACCCGGTTAAGGCAGTGGAGAACTTGGAGAGGGGAATTAACAGGAAATATCTGATAACTGACATCCATTAAACATGGCACGTGGAACTAGAACAGTCTATCCCAGTGACCGAAATAAAAGGTTCAGTTCGACATTCCAACCACCTGAAGGAAGTCGGAGCGTACAACGGCCGAAACGTTGTAATAAATAAATAGACAAAGATGATGATATTAGTCCGGAAAATGTAAATAATGTTAATATTCGTAAATTCGAACTCGGCTCTCCGTTTCCGCTATTACTTACATCACTCGCATATCCTTGCATTTATTTATTTGGACCAGTATCCTCATTTTGGTTGTTAGGTTAACAAGTGCTAAGCCCTTGTAGCATCTGCCCATTTTTTTTTATTTTTTTAGGTATCCTTCTTTGAATTTTGAACTGAGCACTTTATTCAATCCTCTGAGATCAATTCCTGCTTTCTGTGCTGAGCGGAGATAACTCATATCAGTAGGGGAGATAACTCATATAAGTTTAAATCTCCCCCAACACCGACCGTCTAATCTAACTTTGTGTTGCTTGTTCGTTTTTTTTTTCCACTGAAGCAAAATATGTGACTTTTCAAATTTGTTTGTCAAATGAACAACGTTTCGGCTGTACTCATCAGCCTTCTTCAATTTGTCAGTCGTAAACACGATAACCGTCTCGAATTTTGTTTAATCTGAACACTTTATTCAATCCACGCGGCCATATTGTCCTCATTCCATTTTCAATACTTGCGAGATATTTCATATCTGTTAATACTGAAATGTCTTCGCTGGTTGTTGGTGTCAGTCACCCAACAAGAGTTTGTGATATTACTTTCATCATCATCAGGCATATGGCCGGATGCCATCGTATCTCACGGTTGCGTGCCTATGCCTGATTCCATGTGAAGGATCTTCCATTCAAATCAGTGATACTGTCATTTTTTTTCCTTCAATTTGTTTCTTCTTCTCTTACCCAAGGTTGTACCGTGTAGGAAGGCACTGGAAAGATTGTAGATTTTTATGACGCGTTCATACCATTTCAGCATTCTCTTATTGATGAAGGTTATAAGATCTTCGATGGATTTCTTTCCTGCTAGATCGTGTCTCGCACTGCGTCGTTTGTAACGCGGTCTATATAGAAGATGTTTAGGATGGTCCTGTAGCATCGCATTTCTAATTCTTGTATTCTCAGCTGTAATTCTCCTGTTAATTCTCCAAAATTCACAAGCGTACAGAGAGATTGAGAAAGAAAATGCATCCAAAAGCCTTATCTTAGATTTCAAGCAGATGTTCTTGTCGGTTTTATGTTGGACTTTGCATAAACACAACATTCGTATAACAAGGTATTATCAATATCTATCTATATTTCTGATATGAGATATTGTAATTATTTACATTATTTATATTGTTCGGAATGATGTCCTCGTCTTTATTGCCATATTCATGAAATTTCAGCCGTTATACGCTCCGGCCTTCGTCAGGTGTTTGGAATTTAGAACTGAACCCTTTATTTCGCTCACTGGGGTAGACTGTTCTAGTTCCACGTGCCATGTTTGATGGATATCAGTTATCAGTTAATTCCTTCTGAAAGTTCTCCACTGCCTTAACCGGGTATTGGGTCCTGTCACTGGATCTAACCAATGCCTTTATCCAGTGTGCCATGTGTCCTTGAGGACATCTGGGTATGAATTTCTGGGTATTATAAACCTAATGTCTTCAGGAAACATTTTTACCAGTGCTCATATTGCAATTTTGCTGTTATCATTGCATGTTTTTACCAGAGCTCATATTGCAACTATGTTGTTATCATTGCTTTTTTATGGCACTCCTTATTACTGGTTCCCATATTGTATTTATTTCTATGCTTGGTCGGCTCAGGAGATTTTTGTGGCCTAGCATATGTGCTGATTCCTTAAGTTTACGAATTTTCCAATGGTGTTCCTTGTCTATGATCTCAACATGATCCCACAGAGTGGGTTCGGTTCGACATTCCAACCACCTGAAGAAGGTCGGAGCGTACAACGGCGGAAGC